ACAAAGTTTTCTAGGGCTTGCAAAATTATTATCAAGCGTTCATTAAAGGAATGTACAATTTAAGAGCTCCGTTGAATGAACTGCTAAAAAAAGACAAGGCATGGGAATGGACGGTAGAATGTCAGAAAGCCTTTGATGAAATAAAGAAAATGCTTACGTCCGACCTCTTTTTAACCCATTACAATCCAAAACTGGATATTGTAGTGGCAAGTGACGCTAGTTCATACGGGATAGGAGCGTGTATTCAACACATAATGCCAGATGGTTCTAGAAAACCAATTGCACACGCTTCGAGAACTTTGCTCCCAGGAGAAAGAAGTTACTCTCAGATAGAAAAAGAGGCACTGAGTATCATTTTTGCCATACAAAAATTTCACAGGTACATCCACGGCAGACATTTTATCCTTGAAACGGATCATAAACCACTGATCACCATTTTTGGTTCAAAGAAAGGGTTACCCGTTTATACAGCAAATCGTCTGTTAAGATGGGGAACCATTCTTCTCAATTATGATTTTCACATAAAGCACCTATCATCCAAAAAGATAATTCATGCGGATAGTCTATCAAGACTAGTACCAAGGCAAGAAGAAAGATTCAAGAATCAATTATTGCAAATATCAGAGCAGATTATGAGGTGAAAAGCATGGTAAACAACATTGTAAGAGAGCTACCGTTACGCTAAATGAAATTAAAAAAGAAGCTGAAAGCGATGATTTCATTTTAGAAATTAAAAGCAAAATGGTAGCAAATGACCAAAAAGTGCAGGAGATTTTTTTTTCAATAGGTGATGGAGTTTTATTATATGGTGAGAGAGTAGTAATACCAAAAAGTTGCAGAAAAGAATACTTGGGACTTTCATATGGGTCACCCGGTATTAATAGAACAAAAAGCTTAATGCGAAGCTTTGTGTATTGAAAGGAATGGATGTGGATATCGAAAACATGGTTCATCGATGTAAGGGGGTGTGCGTTAGCAGCTAAGGCACCACCTATAGTACACAAACCATGGCCCAAGACGGATCATCCGTGGACAAGATTACACATTGATTTCTGGGCTGGTCCAGTAGAAGATTTTTACTACTTAATAGTGGTAGATAGTTTTACAAAATGGCGGAAGTACTACGCTGTAAAAAGCCTACGTCCAATACCACAACAACTTTTTTTTTGCATGAACTATTTGCACGGTTCGGTGTGCCAGAGTGTATTGTGAGTGACAATGGTACACAATTCACTTCTGAAGAATTTAAGGAATTTTGTGAGTTATATCAAATTAACCACATAACGACGCCTCCGTATCATCCGAGGTCTAATGGACTCGCAGAAAGATTTGTCGATACTTTAAAACGAGCTCTGAAGAAAGCCTCAGGAGTTCCAACGGAAAAGGCGCTTCAGCAATTCTTACAAGTATACAGAATCACGCCAAACCAGAGAACACATTCAAACATGGCACCAGCTGAACTAATGTTCGCTAGGAAAGTTAAGTCAGTGTTTGACAAGCTTTTGCCAGGAAAAATACAGTAAAAAATACCATGTATACAGCGAGAAAAAGATACACTCCCGGAGAGAAGGTGTTTTTCAAGTGCTATAAAAACAACGTTGAGTTCTGGGAACGAGGCATAGTGGACAAGAGAATCGGTGACCTGATTTACATAATTAAAGGGCCGAAGAATACTTATAAAAGGCACCAAAACCAACTTAAAAAAAAGATTACGGTATAGAGCAAGAAGAGTGTATACCGGATGAGGACGAAGATCCCATTGATATAATGTATGATATGTTTCAGGTAGAACCTCCACAGAATACACCTGAACCAAGAAGATCCGTAGGAAACGGAAGTTGACGGACCCATTGAACGTGAATCCAAAACGAAAAAAAAATATTAAAATTAGGCAAATGGATCTACAAAGAAATAGCCATAATCATCAACCCATATAGGAAGCCAGTTTGAAATCCAAAAGGATTCCAAGGCTTGGGAGGAGGGTGTTGTGTATGATACACCTAATTTACATAAGCGGACTACCGACCATATAAATATGGGTTGGTACCGGAAGACGGGGAAGATAGTAGAGATTAAGAAATTGAATCCAGAGACTCTGCCCGACTGCGATTTAGTCAACCCAGGAACAGTCTTCCCAAGAATATACCAAACTAACTGTAAATATTGTGTACCTATTCTTTGTTTCAATACATTTTGTTAACGTACATTTTGTGTTGTATTATTCCATGCTTATTTAAGCTTCAACAGAAAGATATATATTCAAAAACAGATAGTAAATAGTAAAACGTTGAGAGTTATAATGAACAGGAAGTAGTGGAGAGCCACTGTCACCAACAATTTGGACTCAAAACCTGCACTGAAGAATTATCTATCAAACAAAATTAGATGAAAACTGTGGAAATGCATAAAGAACATCTGATCACACACACATACAAACAGACATTGTGAGAATTATAGATATAGATATATAAATGTTTTCATCGGTAGAGTGAAGGAGAATTTACAGAGGTTAGGATTGCACACACAGGAATTAATGGAGACAAATCTTCAGTGAACCTCTAGCCAGCCTCTCTCCAGATCAAGAATCAAACCAGTTATATAACACCTACACAACTTCACATGGCCATGCCTCTTTAAGCATGCACCCATACAAACATACATTTCCTTCCACTGAGGACTCTTGTGCGTCCTCTTTATTCAAGACTCAGGATACCTGTACATGCTGTTTATTTTAGCCACCAGATGCATTTCCTGTTTATGCTATCACCAATTTCGATTTCCGCTCACACACTGATGCGATGGAAGTAAAGCCAAAGGTGTTTCCTCAACCGATATCCAACACACAAATTTTGTTTTCCATACAGGTAACTATTGGGTTGCCTGTAATTTTTTTTTCACAGTGATGTTCACTCTGTACAAGGCCCAAAAGCCACTCAAAACAGAGAGTTATAAAGTAAAAGGCAAAGTTTATACGGATATGTGGGAAAGATAACAGTTAATCCTAAACTTGAACAGGTTAAGATTCTAGTGATCAGGAAAACATCCTCTTGGGAGTCAATATTACAAAAAGCCTGCAGTTTGCAGACAGTAGCTGCTCAAGTGGAACTTACATCTCTCAAATGGAATATGAAGTGAATGAGGATGGTTCATTACAATGTGTGTAGCAGGGTTTGGAACGAAGGAATGTAATGCATCTGAGAACTTTCCATGGGAATAGCAATAGAGCAGTGACATGTTTTGTCTGTGGGAAAGGGGTTGTAGGGTGGAGAATAATTCATCACCCACAAGGATGCAGAGACACTTTTGGATTCTATCGAGATCGGAAAGTGAAGACTGTAGCTCCTGCCCAGATATGGCAGCAGGGCTGGTACTGTCTGATGTCTCCCCACCCATGGTACAACCCCCGCCCCAAATCTATGATATGGGGCTCCCACTCTACTACACTGCAATTTTCTTAAAATGGTATTCATATAAAATACAAATTTCATTGTAACCTAATTATGCACAATAATGGATCGTATTCATCTAAATACAAATTAGAGACATGTCATAATGGATCATATTCATCTAAATACAAATTAGAGACGTGACATAATGGATCATTACATCTAAATACAAATTAGAGACATGTCATAATGGATTATATTCATCTAAATACAAATTAGAGACGTGTCATAATGGATCATTACATCTAAATACAAATTAGAGACGTGTCATAATGGATCATTACATCTAAATACAAATTAGAGACGTGTCATAATGGATCATTACATCTAAATACAAATTAGAGACATGTCATAATGGATCATATTCATCTAAATACAAATTAGAAACGTGTCATAATGGATCATATTCATCTAAATACAAATTAGAGACGTGTCATAATGGATCATATTCATCTAAATACAAATTAGAGACGTGTCATAATGGATCATATTCATCTAAATACAAATTAGAGACGTGTCATGATGGATCATATTCATCTAAATACAAATTAGAGACATGTCATGATGGATCATTTCATCTAAATACAAATTAGAGACATGTCATGATGGATCATTTCATCTAAATACAAATTAGAGACGTGTCATAATGGATCATTCCATTTAAATACAAATTAGAGACATGTCATAATGGATCATATTCATCTAAATACAAATTAGAGACGTGTCATAATGGATCATATTCATCTAAATACAAATTAGAGACGTGTCATAATCGATGCTTTCATCTAAATACAAATTAGAGACATGTCATAATCGATGCTTTCATCTAAATACAAATTAGAGACATGTCATAATCGATGCTTTCATCTAAATACAAATTAGAGACATGTCATGATGGATCATTTCATCTAAATACAAATTAGAGACATGTCATGATGGATCATTTCATCTAAATACAAATTAGAGACATGTCATGATGGATCATTTCATCTAAATACAAATTAGAGACATGTCATGATGGATCATATTCATCTAAATACAAATTAGAGAAATCTCATGATGGATCATATTCATCTAAATACAAATTAGAGACATGTCATAATGTATCATTTCATCTTAAATCAACTATGTTTTAACATCAACTTGAGATTTTTCTTGTTAAACTGTTGAATAATTTTAACACATTCAACATTATGGATAAAAAAAATAGTGACTTTTATATAATGTCTTTTTAAGGCTTAGCATGAGCAATACAAATTCACAGATTTGGACAAAAAAAAAAGAAAAAAAAGACCCCAGAATGACGTTAAAATCCATGAAAATTTTTTATCCTTTAATAGTTGTGCTTAGTTTAATTTGTAACGTATTTAAATGTAGGTAGAAAAAAGCAAAGTTTATAGGATAGCGATGGTCACAAAGCACTGCCCAGGGACCCCAATCAGGCTTATCCCAGCCCCGATCGGGGGCGGTGAGGTTCTGGGTTTAGTACAACATACTGGCACTGTATGGCAGCAGTATTCAAAAAAAAAAGCAAGTAAAATTTCTGTCTCTTACCCCAACATAATCAGTGGTTATATTGTGAAACTTCTTGGCCCCTTCAATCCATTTGATGATGTAATCTGCTGTACGCTGAGGGGTTGTATAAGGAGAGTTGGTGCCATTCCCTATCCAATAAGGAAATGCCCAGGGGAGGGCATAAATTTTAATATCTGGATTCCTCTGAAATACAAAAATAAATTTAAAACATTGTGATATAAATTAACAGGAAGAATTTTATACAAGATATATCCCGGAAAGGGATATATTTGCTCGAAGTAGCAAAGTGGTTGTTCACTACTGTAACCAGGTAGGACAATCTAGCAGGTAACCATAATGGACTGGTCTTCGTCGTAGTGGTAGGCAATAGGTGAAGACAATAGGCATAGCCAATAGGCATCATTATCCCTGTACCTCCACATCAGTCTGTATTTATGGCTGACACCAGTCAATCATATTACTGTGAGGGGGAACCCAGGTTTATGCATATTCATTACATCAATACAATTATCCTTTATCAGCAGCAGCAGAAGCAGCAGCAGCAGCAGGAAGACAATAAGAATATTAGATTTAAGGTCCCAAGTTCTAGACAAGAAAATTAAAATGTTCATTTGTGAATTATATGGTATTGGGAGTTCAATCCTTGGGTTGGGTATGGTACAAATTCAGTGGATATAGTACAGGCAATAACTGAATAATAAATAATAATCTACCATCCCATGGAGATTGAATAAAGTTTAATATTCATTGAAGATTATTCAGATTGACAAATCCCTGAAGAAGACCAGAGAGCACAACAGTCGAAACATTATGGTAATAACAGCATTTATAATAATGTGAATAATGATAATTCCTCATCTCAGAAATTCAGACATATATTATCTTAAACTGGGAATGTTTATTTTAATCAATTCACTCCAAACAAAGGGGTGATCCAGAGTGAAAGAGAATGAAAAGACTTCAGAAGTATCCGAAAACACAATCCTAAACAGGATACAAGGGATAAACCTCTACTCCTTTTCTAAAAACAAGAGAGGCATGTAAACCAGGCAATAAGCAAACCTATCTACTCCTATTGAGGAAAAAAATGTAAATAGTAAATAAAATTTCAGAGTTTAGGCAGAGACGTTAGAAGTATAGAATTGAAGTAGACTTTAGAAAAAAAATGGAAACCCATTCCTAAACAGTAAACAAGAGATAAACCTCTACTCCTGTCCAAAAGATGGGAAGGAGTCTAAACTGGATGATAGGCAAACTTATACATTGACCATCACTTATGGAAATTATTTCTCTTTTTTTCACATTGTTTTTTTCTATGTCGCTTTTATTTTAAGTTAGCCTGTAGTACTCCTGGCTATGATGTCTTAATTTAATTTAATTTCACATATATTAAAAAAAAATATGAAAAAAGTTCTGAGACAGACATGTGCAATCACTGGTTAGCCATTACATTTTGCCTAAGAGAAACAAACAGTAGTTGGGATAGTTTTCAAAAACCATCACTTGTTCTTTGCTGGTTTGGGTGAAATTTAACTTCTGAATGTTTATTTTCCTCTTTTTTTTTTCTATTTGTAGGTAAAAGTAAGTAAAGAAACCCCTTTATTTGCATTTGTTCTTCAGTTTGGACAGCAACAAAATTATCAAAGATAGTAATCATTTGTCTGAGATGAGGTATTTTAATTATTTACACTATTTGCATTGGACCTCATCTTTGTTGACATATTCACATTTTGGCTGGTGTGACCTGAAAAAGGCCGAAGTGGCACACAATAGCCGAAACATCATGAATATACCAACAAACAGTCCAAACAATGTAAATAGTGTAAATAGTAATCATTATTCATATTCTTATGAAGATTTCAACCATCTTAATTTCAGTTGCTTTTTATCCCAATGACTCACATTGGCTATGTATTGAAAAGTGTGTATCAAAAATAAGAAATAAGCTCTTAGTGAGACATGAACTCACATCCCTTGTATCCTGAGAAGCCTGTTTTTCTATAATATTTTACAGGAGATCAAAACTTCAGAGACACTTTTAAAATTTCCCTAACATTGTACAAAGATGGTGCTGGGAACTTCTTTTTTATCAGTCTAAGATTAATGTTGGCAAACAAAGATAGATGAATAATTCTGACATAGATAAATTAAAAAAAACTAATACTTCCACCCACAACTCTCTCTCTCACACAGACACACGATAAATAGGAGCAGGTGGGGATTGAAACCAGGCCCAAATTTTAATTATTTTACCTTTTTAGCTTCTTTTATTAGCCACCATTCATATCCTCGGTTATAATTTTCCTCCCAGCTGTCATGCATATGGGAAGCTTCTGTGCCATCTGAAAAGAGAAAACACACAAGTGAGAAGGAAAGAAATGAGAAAATCTCAACAACTCTTCATCTTTACTTAATATAATTCTTCATTTTGTCCAGAAAAAAAATTCCTTCTTTACAAATTCTCAAATATAAAATTTATACCATCTTTACTACATAAAGTCTATATGGAATTACCCACAGATATATTATCAAATAAAGCATGCAAACACTCAACAATAACAAGACAATTAAACATGTGATTGACCCTGTTGTACCTAAAATGTGGGAAAAAAATGCCAGGCAGATATATAAACACCCACCCCAGAGGGAAGAACAGCTACACAAGAATATAGGGTCAACACTCAGTAAAAGCTTCAAAGCCACACATTCACTGGCTAATGGGGATTGATGAAGTCCAGAGTGAAACAAACAGTGATGTTATGTTTTTATTTTTAATCATTTCACCCTAAGCAAGGAGCTCCTGAGTGTTAGAAAATATTTAAAAAAAAATACTATTAAGGAGAGAGGACAATAAAAGAACAAGAATTAAGACAGGAGATAATGATTGGCATTTCACTTAAATTTTTGAAGATTAAAATTGAATGGGAAGCATGATGCTGAGAGAGAGTTCCACAAGCAAGAAGTGCAAGAGAAGAAACTGATAACATAGAACTTACAGTTACATCTAGCCATTTTCAGCTGTAAAATAATGAGACCTTGCCGCCAGTGTTGTACTGTGCTTAAATTCATAAAGACTAGAAACCATAGAAGAAAGTTCATCAAAACAATTACCATGAAAGTATTTATAGAAAAGCATTAATGCAAAAAGATCTAGAAGAGTGGACATTCAAGACAACTTTCATTTCATGATTTGATAAGACTGAATCAGTTAAAAAATTCATACAGAAATACCATAACTATTCAACTTGTGAAGAAGATCAACATCTCAAGCCCTGTCAAATGTCTTTGAGATGTTCAAAGCAACAGCCTGAGCTTCACCATTCTTATCTAAAGCTTGATAGACTATTTCAACAATAATCACTAACACATCAGCAGAATGTGGAAAAAAGCAATAACAGGCAGATATATAAACATCTACCTCAGAGGGAAGAATGTAGAGTCAACATTCAGTGAAAGCTCCAAAGCCACTCATTCACTGATGGTGATTGAAGCCCAGTATGAAACAAACAGTATTGTTATTTATAAGAGAATAGGTCTTGATGTTTTTTTTTATTTGTTATGTATTAGGATAACATTATATATGCCTGCGATCATAAGTGTTAAAGGAGAGGTTTGTTAAATTTGCGTGAGGAGGGGGTTTAAAATAATGTCATTTTTATAATTTGGAAAGATAAAAGAAAGAATAAACAGCATTTTTGTTCTTACCTGTACTTTGTGCATCACCACCAATTTCGACTTTAAGAATTTGAAGGGAGGCACCAAAATTAGGCTGAAAAAATAAACATGGACAAATTTATATGATGGAGAGAAAAGCAAGCAATAGGATATTAGATAAACAAAGATATATTTACATGATAGAAAGAGAAAAGAGATAAACACAGCCCCATTTAGAGAGTAAGGTGAACAAAAAGTTATTAGATAAACATAGATATATTTGTGACAATGTCTTCTGCACATCACAGCACAAGCTGTGATGACACCCAAGGTTGGCTGTATGCGAATATACACCCAGCTCACTATGTTCACAGGCTTGTCTTACTGGCCATGATTGAATTCAATAAAAAATAATGACAAATGATTTTCAAGACATTGATTGGGACAATTTCTTACATAATCAGCAAAGTCTTCTTTTGGCTTTGAGAAGTTGAACTGCTATCTTATTAATTTCCAGCCATGAAGAAAGGACACTTACATTCACTGCCCATGGATTTGGCAACTCACACACTGCTGGTCCTTTCCCCCTCTCTGACTGCCAGTCCTTTCCTCACTGACTTTCATTATATGGACACCGGCTGGGGTCTCACCACCCCTATCCATCCACTTCTGTTCTGGAAAAGGAGACCACCCATTTAGCTATTGGGTGGTAAGTTTTTCAAAAAACTCGACTTATGATTATCTAAAAATCACTAACAAAATTTTATGTTTGCCAATTCAAATCGGGCTAGAGACAGGATTCCTGAAAAAATCCAAGTCATTAAATTGACTTAAAAAAAAGAAAAAAAAAAAAGAATCTATCTCCTAAGTATATGTGAGAAATCATATTGCTACATATTTACATGATAAAAAAAGATATTAAAATAAGCAACCCCATTTAGAGAGAAAGTAGTAAAAAAAAAAAAAAAATTCAAATAAATAAACAATCATATCTTTCTTTCATTATTATAAAAGTCTGTGAATATTGCTTGTTTTTGCCAGAAGTCATATACAGAGAGTGGGTGAAAGAAATATGTAAATTTATTATCATGTAGAAAAGTGGGGAGAAGGAAATAGAGGAAAAAACCTCTCTCCCCTTCCACACCTCTCTCTCCTTCCACCTCTCTCTGTCCTTTCACACCTCTCTCCCCTTCTACTTTCCCGTGATTGCGTGCATGCTTATTTATATTTCAGCTTTCTTTAAACAAACAATATTTTAAATATTTTTATTTCAATTTTCTTCAAACAGAAAATTTTTTTAATGTTGAAAGCAAGATTCATCAGTAAAATTGGCAGCTTTAATCAAAAAGAAAGCTCTAACACCTTCAGGGAGCTCTATTTCATGCCTTTTGATTTTCTCATATCTCTGCCTATGTTCAATTATAAAGTTTGAAACATTTTCACCTGCACTCTGTTTATATTCATAAAAATCCTTAAATGCACAATATGACTCCATCTTGTAAATATACTCTATCCAACAATGTCTATAATCAATTTATAATGACCAGCCCTTCGAATATCTTCTGGTTTTCTCTTGCTTTTCCTTTGAGCAAGAGACATACTGCAACTCCTTAAATGCATAATATGCCAATGTGCCTCCATCTTGTAAATATCCTCTATCCAATTTGTCTATAATCAATTTATAATGACCAGCCTTTTGAATATCTTCTGGTTTTTCTCTTGCTTTTCCTTTTAGTCAGAGACATACTGCAACTCCTTAAATGCATAATATGCCAATGTGCCTCCATCTTGTAAATATCCTCTATCCAATTTGTCTATAATCAATTTATAATGACCAGCCTTTTGAATATCTTCTGGTTTTCTCTTGCTTTTCCTTTTAGTCAGAGACATACTGCAACTCCTTAAATGCATAATATGCCAATGTGCCTCCATCTTGTAAATATCCTCTATCCAATTTGTCTATAATCAATTTATAATGACTAGCCCTTCCAATATCTTCTGGTTTTAACTCTTGCACAATCTCTCTTGATTTCCCCTTTTTATGAGAGACATACTGCAGCTCCAAACTTGTCTTCTGTAGTATCAGTATGAATTTTCCAGATGTTGGTGTCATTCTTCCAACTTAAATAATCACCATTTTCTTCTGGGAGGAAAATGTGTGGCTTCTTGATACTTGACATTTTTTTTGTTTTTTTTTCAAATGTTATTATTACATTGGAATTAATGAATTGGTCAACTACAAAATTAAGAAACAATGACCTTAAACTGTTAAGGTCAACTGAAAGTTAGTATTTAACTGAATTCTAAATACAGTGCTTTTTTTTAGTTCTTTAGTAATACTAATGTATTAGAGTTAGGAAAAATTTTAATTTAGTTATTTTAACAACACAAGCAAATGGTGAGATTTCACCTCAGAATAAAATGAATTATTTCTATGTATAAAAAAACATTATCCAGTTGTGAAGTAACCAAAAGTTAAAAAAAATAGACAAAGCAAACAGTAGAACTTCCCTACGAATTGGTATACGCTCTGCTACCAATATTAAACCTCACTTTAGTTCCTTATGTTATCTCTTTAGTACTCCATGATTTCCAGAATCAAAAACAAGTGATATTTAGCTACCCCCCACGAGGGTTACATGTGGCACAAGGCCAGGTTTAATGTGGGATCTCCGAGCCCATATGCTCGGCCAAAAATATTCCCTCTTTGAACCCACATAAACGGGTTCAGGGTCAGTCAACCACCCCGAACGAGACTCTGCCCTTCGGCGGAGCCTCGTCCAGGTTCCTCTCCGCCCGAAGGCAAAGACTTAGACTGTTAGCCAAGTTAAAGATTTTCCAAGTGTAGCTTAGATGTGGCACAAGGCCGAAAGCATGGGGCATCCAGTGAGGATCAAACTCACTTTTCAGTAGTAACTGATCAAGCAAGACAAGCTTGTTAACCATTACACCACGCCGAGGTGCCCATATAGTGATTTTCCAAGCATAGCTTGAATGTGGCACAAGGCCGAAAGTAAGGGGTACCCAGTGAGAATCGAACTCACTACTCACTTGTAATTGATCTAGCAAGACAAGCTTGCTAACCATTACACCATGCCTAGGTGCCTCAGAATCAAAAACAAGTAAATCCAGCCTCAACTTTACACCCTTATATAGGTATTAGAATCAAAGGGGAGATAACATAAATGACCAGAGCCTGACAACTGATCTCTCCTCTAGCTCTAACAGCACAGTTGGGGAAAAACTGGCTCTTCACATTCAATGCCTCAAAAACCATCATCATGAATTTCTTGCCTATCACAATGAACAAGTGTTCTCTCTTTAAAAGGCTTGAATGCATATTGGGATGTAAGCTTAACCCAGACCTTAAGCAGAATTTGTACTTGTGACCCATCACTAAAAGATGCTGGAAAAATGGTCTGTTCCCTGTACCACTCCAGTATGTACCAAACTCCTCCTGCTATGCCCTATCTTTACAAGAACCAGATCAGGTAAAAAAAGTGGAGTACTGCTGCCATATATAGACAGGAGCTGCACAGTCTTCACTTACCAGTCTTGAGTCCAAAAGCATCTCCACGGCCTTGTGGGTGATGAATTATTTCTCACCCTACAACTCCTTTCCTGCAGACAAAAAGTTGCACACCTATCACTATTTCCATGAATGGGTTCAGACAGACTACATTCATTAGTTCCACCAGTTCTAAGAGTAATGGCTAAGACCTACCATGCCACATACCTTGTAATGGACCACCGTCATTCCATTAAGGGAGATGTAAATTCCACTTCTTCTCATGAACTTTGTGGAACCAACTCTCAAGAGGATGCTTCCCTGATCACTACAATCTTAAGAATTTGAAGTCTTGGGTTAACCATTATCTTCCCCAAATATCCCCATAAACTGAGCCACTTATGTCTTACTTTGTAACCCTCTACCTTGAGTGGTTCTTGGGTCTTGTATAGGGTGAGCATTATTGTAACAAAAATTTTTTTAAAATAGTTCCCACTTGCTGATACATTATGCCTCAATATTATTTTTTCTTTCATAAGAAAATGAAGTTTTATTGATATCACTCCCTGGTATATAGATTCTAGAGGACCTAGAGATGACCTTACTCTTAATGCACTTTTGTCAAAATGATGTTCACAGGTCAAATTTTATGCAGTATAAAAATAAGTAAAAACAAGAACTAAATGATATCACTAGACATAAGCAGGGGAACGAGAATAAAGGATTCATTTCAGAATTCCCTGTCGGTTTCCTGACTCAGTATACACCTAAGGAAGGCTGGAGAGCACAAAGGTCAAGACATTGTGATAATAATGACAAGACAATAGTCCAAATATAAATAGTATAAATAATGAGGATTCCTCACCCCAGAAATTCAAACTGCTTTTTCTTATCATCCAGGTCTTGTTTTTTCTTTTTAGTATTTCTTAGTTATTGCTTGCCTGTTTCTGCTGAATCCATGTACACACTGCCCAAGGATAAAACTCACAACCACTATGTTACCAAATTTATGAAGCAACATTTTAATCCACTAGGCCATTGTCCTGTAGGACAATTTGCTACAGTGAACTTGGAGCCTTAAACCTATACTGTCTGCTGATTAGTGCAGCTTTTACTGCTTGTCATGTTTCAGTGTAAACGGGCAAGCAATAACCAATTTCTCACTCCAATAAACTATTCCATTACACTGCCTGCACATGTAAGGTTACAGTACCTGGTATTTCCAAGCAATCACCCATCTAGGTACTGACCAGGCTCAATGTTGCTTAACTGCAGTGATCATAAAATACCAGTGTTTCAATATGATACAGCTTTCAAACTTTCAGATATATGGAGGGAACTGGTCAGGTGCTCACTGACTATGACCCCACATCTGATCATGGGATAGATGATTATGATTTTGTTTTTTAAAGTTTATATATGGGGGTGTATGTGTGCGTATAGTGGCATATATGTATGGACATGTAAATATACATATATGTATGTATGAAGATATGTATGCATATAAGTGTGTTGGACAGTATAATTTATTCACTTGGGTGTTCTGGTATCATCCACAATCCATAACTCAACTAATTTACATTAATCTCAACGGGTTTAAGTTTAAA